CTGCCCATGTACCTCCCTAGAGCTTTGAATTGAGAATATGATGTGCTGGGAGAGAATGTGTTCTCTGAACTTGCACTAGTGAGGGGCAAGGAGATGGGCAAGCATGACTTTTCATCAAGTAGGAAAAGTTTCAGAGCAGAAGTCAACACCTGCTGCGAGCAGCTTCGGGCCTGGCATGACAGCAGCAGTGCTGCTACCATCTGTTGGTGAACAGCAGAAAAGGAGCAACAATAAACCCTCCATAAATCACATCCCAGACACACAGGTACACGTGGCATCACCTTGGCCACCATTCCTCAGCGAGCACAGGGGGGTGTGCTGTGCTGCACAGACCCCTCGGAAAGGCTGGGTCAGCAGCTGCCCTGGGGACAGTGCCGGCTGTGCTGGCACTGGTGAGCAGCAGGTGACACTCAGCTTGGGGCACAGCTGGAATGCAGGCACAGCACTGCAGCAGGCTGGTAAGAAGCAGTGGCCCCCCACCTTGTTTTCCTCCAAAATCCCATCCCTGGTGGCTCTTCTTCGGGGCAGTGGCAGGGATGGCAATGTCAGGGGGACAGCACAGCTCCTGGGCTGCAGCTTTGCCAAGGCCACCCTGTGTGCTGCAAAGCACAGGCTCTGCAGGCACAGCAGGTGCTGGGGCCAGCGAGCCCTGCAGGCTGCCTTCTCTAGGGCACAGCAGCTGTGTGGAGCAGCCCTGGCACAGTGGGATTCTCCTGGTGAGTTAATTCTGTATTCCCAGGCCCCTTTAGCAGAATGTCCTGGTGTGGGGGAGCCTGGCAGAGCTGCAAAGAGAGTGGGCTGAGTCACTGCAAACAATGGCTTTAAGAAAGTGATGGCATGTCTTAACATCCAAGAAATGCTTGTAGAGATCTGAACCTGCCCTTGAAGGTGCTGCTAGCCCTGGCAGAAGGGTTATGGCTCCAGAGGTTTATTTTTTGTTTTAGAGGACACCCTATTTATCATTTAAAAGCTCTCTCTAAGATGGCAACCAGCCTTGACCACAGCTCATCTTCCCAGCTCCCTGTGGAGCAGGGCTCCCGCAGCTCCCACTGAGGTTTTCTGTAAATGTTGTAAAGCTCTTTTTGTATTTTTAATAACAAGGTGGACAATAACTCTATTTACAGGGAAATCTTCCTTTTGCAGGAGTATCATGTATACCTCTTTCTTATTTGTTGCTCTCTGTTCCTACAACCCTCTTGCAAATGGGTAATCCTTGTTCTGATTTTTTTCTAGCAGAGATGTTTTGTTTTCCTGTTGGCTGATGCTGTCTGTTCAGTCTGTGGAGGATTAACCTATGTGCTGTTGCTAGGTGGCCTTAAGCAAAGAAATAACACAGATCACAGACTCCTGCATTCCTACAGTATGTAACTCCCTTGTTCAGCAAGATTTTTCTTTCTCTGTCCTTCTCATGTTTTGTGTTTATGGTTGCAGAGGTATTTATTAGAAGATGCACATATAATTTGAACAAAAATAATGGACCAGAACTCTATAAGATGTCAGGTTTATTTGATCTTAAAATATTTAGTAACACTCTTTCCATGCCAGCTCTTTCCATGGCTTGTCTTCTGACAGTGTCTAAACCTCCTCCATAGTATTTAGATTTTTCTCTTCCTCATGTGAAGTCCTGGGCTCCTGAGGAATACCCAGCTCATCATCATAACTCACAGGTGCTGGGAGAAAGGAGTTCCAGTGGGGCTGGTGATCACACCCCTCTGAGACCACCCAGGTGTGTCAGGGTCTCATCAGGGTCAGAGCATAATGGGTCTGGACAACCCATTTTGTACAAAAAAATACCTAGAGCAAGGAAGAGTTCAAGGAAGAGCTGCAAAAGTGATTGCAGGACTGATAAAATCATCTGGGGAGGCAAGATTAGAATTTTGTAGCTCAGGCATGCCTTACTGCCAGGCCGCTGTCTACCAGTGCCTGTCATATTTTGCAGCACTTTAATGCTTTTGCTCAAAGGACCTTTGAAGTCTCTTATGACCCAAATACAGCCTAAATCTTGGAGCATTCCCCAGAGAGACATAGCAGTTATTGGCTCGGTTTGCTCCTGGTGAAACTGAGGCAGAGTGATTCAAGAGCACAGTTTTCCTCATGGCATGTGCTCAAATGTGCAGTTCTCAGAGGTAACTGCTCTTCTCACTTCTCGTGGATACAGAGTCAGAGAGGCACTGCCCCAAGGCCATAGAATATTCACCAAAAACCCAGCCACACTTCTGTTGACTCCAGAGCCTAACTTCTATCTCTGTTCCAGCTCCTGTTTCTGCCAGAATTGCTCTGGTCCTCTGTGCCCTGCCTTCACAGACATATTTTCTGCTAACAAAAATAGTGAGAGGGATTTGGGGTGCGGTTTCATAGTGAAACTGGACTCTGCAGCCTTCTTTTGTGTGTGCATATCTGTACCAACTTCTGACAGCATTAGAGAGGCAGTGAAATCAAATGTCCCCTGTTTCTTTCGGTGGGTGATGGAAGAGAAGACCCTGTGAGGGCAGATGGGTGCTCTTTGCTGTGTGTCCCTGGAGAGAGCACCTGGAGTTCTGCCTCTTCCTGGGGATTGATGTGTGCACCTCCAGAGAAAGCCATTGGAATGAGCCCATTGTATTTATCTGGGAAAGTCTTTTATCCTAACCTGGTTTTTATCCTGTTGTTGGACAAGTAATTCCCTCTACTGACTGCTAATATCCTGGGATTTAACTTTCTTTTTTACTTTAACCTATCCTGCTACTTGAACTGCTCACAAGCAGCATTTATCAGCCTTCTTCAGATGCTGATTAGAGCTGAGCAAATACATCACCGTGAATATTTAATGACTTGGGGTTTAAATTTTTCACATCTTTTCTTGAGAGTTCATTTTATAGACATTTTCTGATATGCAGTTATTCTTAAATCATTTGAAATCTCCTGAAATTGCACACTGGACTCCTAAATGAATATTTCACACCAATGCTGCACAGAGCAGTTAACAAGTGGCTGTGTAAAGCCCACAGTGCTGCAGACGGGTCCAGCCAGCCCCATCCATGGCCCCATGCAGCTGTGTTCTGAGCCTGCACACTCAGGTGTGCAAATGTAGGCAGCACTTGGCACAAATATTTTGCATATCCAAAACATGTTTGCTGTTACTGTTTTGTCCATGAATGCTCAGGTCATTTGACAGTAAGGAAAAGGCAGGTACAGTACAGCCCCAGGCAGAGTTGGCAAAACCCACTCCAAATTACAGAGATCTTTGTTTTGCATCACTATCAGTTGCCTGCCTCTATGTCTGATTCCCAGCTAGGAGTGATGTGACTGACGGGCCTGCCGAGCGCTTACCATGGACACATTCGTCCTTCTCAGCCTCTTGTTTGTCAGGCTGGCTCACATGTTGAATCTGGCAGTTTGCATTAATAAAATAGGTTGGTCTGAAATGCCCACAGGACTTTTTTTCTCCTAACACAGCAGGGTGGGGTTTTTTTGTACATACAAAGGACTCTGATGTAAAAATACACATTTCTACAAAGCTCTTCTGTTCTTCCTCCTGTGGCTCTTTAGTTTGGCAGCCCCAGCCTGGCCCTGGCGCTCATTGCTGGGGTGGCCATCTGCCCCCTGTGAGCTCAGCACTGCAGCCAGGATGGGCTGATGGGGGTACAGCTGCACTGGGGGCCTCACACCCACTGCTGGAGCTCACTGCAGGGGGGAAGGGTGGGCTGGAAGCAGGGCAGTGGCCTGGGGTTTAGCAGCAGTCTAGGCCACAGCTAGCTCTGACACTTGGCAAGTTGGGTTCATTACCAAGTGTCACTGTGTCTCAATGACCTGTTCTCATCCAGCTAGGCTGCCTTTATCCTCTGGTCATTGGGCAGGAAGCTGCTAAAAATACCCTGAAGAGGCAAACTGCCTTGTTCATACTGATGTTAGCAGCTCCCAGGAACTGGAGGAGCTGCAGAGAGCGCCTGGGAGCACCCCCTGTCCCAATGCCACCCTGACTGTGACAGGAGCCCTGTGGTGGTGCTGGACAAGGTGCACCTGAACATACAGAACTCCCAGGGCAGAGCAGGGGCATGAGGGCCTCAGGCAGGACCCATCCCAGAGCTGGTGCCACTGACCCCTGGAGGTACAAGCCGTCTTTTATCTCCTGCCACGGCAGTGCCGGACACAGCAGCCGACATTGTTTCCTCCAAGGCACTGGCTGCAGCCCCTGCAGCATGTGGCCACCCAGGACAATGAGGCAAGTGGCCTGGAAGGAGCACCAGCCCCCCACACCATGTCTCATCCTGTGGGGGACAAACCTCCCTCTCCAAATTGCTGGACAAGAAACAAACTACTGTGTGTCGGGAACTATTTTAACTCCTGAGGAAATCAGGACAGTTGTTGCTACCTTCTGAAATGACTCAGCCCTGCAGTAGCCTCCAGCTGAGAGCTCTGCCAGGTGCAGATGTCTGCAAATGCCAGAAGAGAAATTGTGATGGTTTTCTAAACTTTATATACAAACTTTTGTAAACTTTGTACAAATAAGCAATCTTCTGCAGGTTGTCTTCCCCCTCCCTTTCTTACATAGGAGAGGACCCTGTTCCCTGTTCGCAGCTAAAATTAGGAAAGTGGTAAAAACCTGGCACTGTTGATGTGCAACTTTCAAAATATGAAGGCTAAGGTTTTGAAAAGGCCTGCATTTACTTATTTCCACTGAAAGTGAAGAGAAACTTGGCATTTAGCTTCCCTAAATTCATTGGGAAACCCCAGCCTACATGCCTGTAAGATATGCTGGACACCTCCGGAGCATTTCACAAACTAAAAGCAGAATCATTGATGTAATTGAAACTTCCTGAAGTTTTAGCTGGCCTGCGTATGGGGGCTGCTCAGCTGTTGGTTATTAATGATCACACAGCAAAGAGAAGGCTCATACAAATGTTATGTCTTATTGCTATTGATTGGTTGTAAGGGTATTACTTGACCAGAGTATGGTGAAATTGATTAACTTTATTAATTATTTATTGCGTAGTAACTAGATATTTAATGTATCTGTACAGCTATTGTGTCTCCTCTGCATTTTGATTAACGTTTTCTTCATGCAGAAGAACAAACCCGTGCAGTAAAACATCCTTTGTGACATGAAATCCAGAGGCTGCGCAATGCCGGCCCCCGGCCAGGCCGGCTCCCCTCGGGAGCTGGACCCTGCGCACCGAGCGGCGGAGCCACCGCGGGCCCAGGGCACTTCCAAAGCCGGGGGAAGTGCCCTGGGGGAAGCGGCCGGGGGAGCGATGCCGCTCCGCAGCCTGGGCCGAGGCAGCGGCGCTGTGAGGGGCGGGCAGGCAGTGCTGGAGGGGCACCGGGAGTGCCAAGGCTGGCAGCGCGGGGGAGGCAGCAGCGCCCGCGGCCCGTGCGTGTCGCGGCGGCTCTGGGGGCCGAGCCCGGGGCGCGCTGGCACGAACCGGCGGCCGCAAACCGGCGGCTTTGGGTGGCCTTCGGAGAGGAGCCGTGCCCGGCGGGAGGGCCCGAGCCGCCCCTGCCGCCTCCTCCTCCTCCGCGCCCCCGCTCCGGCCCCCGCCTCGCCCCGCGGCGCCGCTCGCTTTCTCACAGCTCCCGCTGCTTCCCGTTCCTCCCCCGGCTCCCGTTGCTATGCCCCGCCGGGCCGGCCGCCGGCAGGAATTCGTGGCCTGTCCAGCTGCTCCCAGCGTGGCCCCGCGCCCCGGCTGTGCCGCCGAGAGCCCCTCCGAGCTGCTCGCCCGAGCTGGGCACGGCACCAGGGCTGCGGGCTCCCGAACGGGGCAGCGGGCTCCTTTCCCACGGCGCGGCCACACGGAGCTGTGCTTTTTCTCTCGAGAGGACATGTCAGGACCTGACATTCTGTTGTTCCCCGAGTGGCGATGGCTCCCGAGAGTGGCCATCACTTTAGGATCACGTTCCCCCGGGATCTGCGGGCAGGAACACTCAGCCCTGCAGCCGCCACTGAGGCCGCCAGAGCCGGCCTCGCAGCGCCCACCGTGCCCGGCGGCTGCGAGGCGATGTTCGAACTGCCGCGGTGCTCCTGCCGTGCCGTGCCGTGCCGTGCCGTGCCGTGCCGTGCCCTTCCAGCTGGACCCTCATGGCAGTGCCGACCTGGGAAACCCCCTGGCAGTCCACGGGAGTCTGGTCGCCCAGACAGCAGTGGTGGTTGCTCGGAGAAGCGTGCAAGCTTCTGGAGCAGGAGTTTCTCATCTGCTGCCCTCGTGGATGTTTGTGCCCGCCTCTGGGAAATTCCACACACCGGGGCCCTGGGCATTCGGTGCCTGATTGGAGGACACAACAATAGTATTGAGCAACCTAGCAAGATAACCAAATAAACAGCAGTGCAATATTTTAAAGTTGATACTGTTATAAGTATTTTAAGAATTTGCACCGATGCATTTAAAAATGTGCATTAGGATTTAAAAATAAAAGTCTAAAAATAAATATAAACAAATCCAGTTCTCTTAACACCCTATGGCCTCTCCTATTTTGCCCAGCTGGCTGTAAGCCTTATTGCTGATAAGACTTATTCCTTTCTATCTACGAAACGAGTCCTAATAAGAGAAAAATAAACACTGCCAATCGTAGGATTTAAACAGAACATCAATTTGGCTGATAACAGGGAAATATCCTCTGACCGTTCCATAACCCTCTGGAGAGATGAAACTGAGAGAAGTCTGAAGAAACTTATGCACATTCTATAGAAACTACTTGACAAATCTTACTGGATTTAATAGAGAATGAGATCTTTTCCCTGGGTTTTTGGCATCATAATTCAATAGCAATGAGATAATTTTCTATTCAATAATTTCCTATTCAATATTGAAGATGTGACTTTCTTGTGAAGTTTTTTACAGGAATAAAAACTGCATGTTCTCACACTGCCACCTGCTCCCCACCACAAGCTCATCCACATTATCACACCAAATCAGAAGGGGGACCATAAATATCTTAGTATTAAGGAACAAACTTTCTTTAAAATGCCTCTTTCAAAACTGCCTGCAGGTCTGCCTGTGCAGCTGTGGGGTTTGCTAATCAATAGCACCATGCAGTACGTTGTGTCTTTTTGCGTAATTACAGAATGAAAGCAGGCACAGAAAAGAACCAAGTGGAAATGATTAATTTTATAGAATGGGACTTGATTTGTGTTTCAGTTTTCTTTTCTTCGGTTCAGTGGGAAGGAGCTGGAAGAGGAGGTGACAGCAGCAGCTCGGTTGCTTGTCCTCAAGCTGCTTGGTTTGATGTGAAGCCGCTGTTTGGATTTTGCTTTTCTGGGCCTGTGAACAGCTCTGAGGGTACAGAGGCAGCATCACCTGGGACAGGGATGTCGGGCTGAGCTGGGACACTTTGTACTGCAGTTGTGAGCACTGGCTTTGTACCACTACTTGCCAAAGCAGTCAGCGATGGTTTTCATGGCAGAGACAATCTCGAGGGTGAGAAGGTTTTGATGCAAAGCATCTTTACTTGGTGCACACTTTTTAAAGACACTGCAGCAGTAGTAGATGGCTGAGTAATGCTGGCAGGATTGGAAATGTGCTCAAGGACTATTATTTTTGTTTGGTTTATGAGGAAACAGAGGTGAGGAGAGATCACTTCTCCTTGTTATTTTATTGTGAAAATACCAGTGGAGTGGAAGCCTTTGGAAACGTATGAATTTTTAGACAAGCTGTGCCCACCCATGTAAAATGCTTCGAAGAGTCCAGACCCTGGAGACAGGGTGCTCTGTGACGCCCGATAGGAGCCGGTCCAGACGGCAGCTGCCTGGTTGTTTTTGGCAGTCTTTGATACCACATTTTGAGAGTTTCCATGGTGTGGGTGCCGCCAGGTCCAGTTCCCGGGGTGAGTTTGCCCGAGGGCCTCACAACACTTCCTAACCCCTGCTGGGACCGGGCTTAATGGCTGAGAAAATCCACCATCCACCTCGAGAGATGATCCCGGACTAATATGAATGGGACTTTGTGACTGCAAGGTGGAAGGAAAAGTGATGTGCCCACCATTAGCTAGTAACATTGCTAAACCTTTTCTCTGGGTAGAGAAATCTTCTGTCTCTGGAGTGTAATTCTGAACATCTCATAAACATTACACAGATACATGGCACAGACATTTATAATCAGAAAAAGAAACAAGGATGCCTGAATATATGGGGGACATGAATGACTCCTAATTCTGGAGGTCGATCCATAATACCTTAAACAAGTATTCAGAGTCCAAGTGCTAATTATCTGCTAATGGGGTATTTGTTCTCCTTCAGTTATGTAAAAGTACACGGCATTCAACTTAAAGAGTGCACTTAAATGGCTTTGTACTGGTGAAGGAACAGCTTTGAAGGCTGCTGCCGTGCTTTGCCCTGGAGCTCCTGGAACCCCTCGCTGAGCTCCTGGTGCTGCCCTTGCTGAGCCTTTCCTCTCCAGCAGCTTTTTCACTTGTCATTCAAACTACTTTCGTTCTCCATATCTCAACATCATCCTAGTCAGCAATGCTGGCAAAGATGTGAATAAAATTATAAATCCTATATGGTGGCTTTTGCCACCGCTGCTGGCCAGAGCAGTGAAGATGCCTGTTGAGTACAAGGGGAGCTTCCACCCGAGTAACAAAGCCCGGTAAAATGAATGAGCTCTTTGATCGCAACCCTGGGAAGAAAGGGTCTCAGTGGCACAGTGAACTACTCTCACGGGGAAAGAGATGCAGTGACCCATCCTCATTGCAGAAATGCCTTGTCGGAGCTTGCAGAGCTGAGCTGACATCAAGGAGAGGGTGAGGGACAGGGGCCGTGCTGGAGCCAGCAGCTGGAGAACCTGTAACATTCCTCCACTGGCCAGCTCACCCCAGAGCCACCGAGCACCTTCCTACACCAGGGCGTCACCCACTTTGAACTAATTCAAATGAATAATGTATTTTTAATTCTTTATGTCCTTTGAGCAGCAGTACAGACCACGACCAACAGGAATGAAAAGAACACAGAATATGTGGATCACAGAGACTTTTCTCTGAGCTGTGATAAAAATATGGAAACGTGACACTTTCTTATACTAAATATCCTAAGTTATTAAGTAACATTATCACTAAGTTATCATTACAGAAATACTCAAAAGGCAGATGCAGAGCCTGGAAAATTCTTTGTGCTAAAGGTGGTTTTGTCAGGAAGTTCAGATCCTCTGCCTGACTCTCTCACCTAATTGCAACAGAGGCCAAAATGAATAAAAACTTTGCTTGGTCAACTATGGAATACCTGCTTGTATTTGTAGGGCATTGCATGGATCTGAGTCTTTAGCCCTATTACCAGTAACGACTTTTACTGTAACTATGGAGGGGGGCAAGTATATGATTCATCTACAGATGGGTATTTTGTGATATTCAGCTAAATTCAGCTCCAGGGTACGATAGTATTTTTCAAAAAATGTCACTAACTGCACCACTTACTCTATCTTTATTTCAGACTATTGTAACTTCTTTAACTAAAAAAAAAAAAAAAAAATTGATAGAAGTAAGAGCCATACACAACTAAAAAAAGAGTTTGAAATCGCTGTGCTTATTAGAGATGTATGAATACTAATATTGGTACTAATATTGGCACATGCAGCAGGCTCCTAATCTTGTTTGTACTAAAATGTGTTTCACAGTGAAATTTCCCCTTTCATTTTCAATGCCATTGATAACTTCTCAATCACTTTTCACTGTAACTTCCCGAAGTGTGAACTCAGGTGCCCTGCCTGCAGACACACCACCGATCCTTCATGTGAAGCCTTTCCTTTCTGTGCACATCCTCCCTCTGGAGCACCTCAACTTTCTGCTGCTCTGTAGCCCAAATTTAAGGCTATGTCAGTCCTTGCTTATAACTAAAATGTGGGATGCCAGTTATTTATTTATGTAAAGTGTTTAGTCTTTAACTCAAAGGCACCATAGAATCTGGGCTGGTATTGTAATCGGGGCTTTTATTCAGGTTGTCTGATGCGCTGCGGATGCTGCCTGCCTTTGTGTGCTCCAGCCCCATGTTTATCCCGACGCTGCCTTTGTGTTCCCTATTTGACATATTTTACTGTAAATAAAGAGAGACACTGTCTTGCAGCTGTATCCACTGTGACATTTGACTCTCTGCTGAATGATTGCATTGTGCTGTGTGCTTTGAAAACATTATCTCTTTTAAGAAATAATCTAGTCCTTTAATAGTTTCCTGCATGTGCCTGTATTCCTTTGCACATCCAGAGAGCTCAGGTGCTCACCCAGCTCTGTCAAAACAGGCAGAGCAGCTCCTGCCGTGCTGAGGGCTGCTGAGGGTACAAGTGCCTTGGATACCAGGTCTTGGCACTGCTCAGTTCCCATTTTGCCTGGTCTTTTTAGCTGTACGGTCTGATCAGATTGTGCAGTATGGCTTTTTCTGGGGCATGAGCCTTTTGCCACATTTCTTTGATATTATGCAGCATCTCTTAATTAGGTCTATTCATATCATATATTCTTTATTATAGGTTGACTCTTACTGGCTGCTATACAATTATGGTGATCTTCCCTCTGCTCCCTGGTAATGGGTGATCACCCTCTCAGTCTTTTTGTGTGTTGGATACTCCTCTTTTTGACTTCAGAAAGTTTAAATCCTTACTGAGGCTGGCTTTCTCAAAGCAGGACTGATTCATTGTGTGCTTAACTCCCATAGTCCTTGTTTAACATCCCTTTTATGAAGTTTGTATTTTTGCCTTTACACAACTGTGTCATTTTTACTTGCAAATTGATTCTTAAACTCTTTCAAAATATTTCTCTGTATTTAGAAATGTATAGCGGGTTGATCTAAATATTGAATGCAAATAAATCTGTAACTGTAGAGAGGCTGGTAGTCCCACCTGCATTTTCTAGAGAAAGGCCAATCAGTTTCTTATAAGGCTGCCAGGGTGGGACTATCTCAGATGTCACTATTGTTATGGATAACATCTTCCTGGAAGTCATCAAACTTTAAAAATTATGTTTGCTGTGCATGCACGTGGCAGAAGAAAGCAAAGCAAAATGAAATCAACATCTTGAGTTAGCTGGCATGAAAATCAAGTGTATCAGTCTCCCCAGAAAAGGAGCGCAGTGAAACCAGCCCTGGTGTCTTTGAGGAGAAGCATGGCAGTGAGTGGAGGGGCAGGGACCACCATGTCCCCACAGATCAGGGCTCGGTGCCTCCGTGGCAGCCTCGTGGGGCTTGGATGGCGAATCCGACGGAGGAGGTGGCGGATGCCTCCACCAGCAAATCCTGTTTTCAGACAAGCCATGCTGAGCTCGGGGGGCTCCTCTGCGTCTCAGGACTAGTTCCCTCTCACCAGCAGCTGCGTTGTGTGTAGTATAGGATCTGTGTCATGCATAATATAGAACAATGACATTCCCAAAAGGGGTTACAAGCAGAGAATCCGGCATCCAAATTGTCCCAGCGACCTGATGAGACATGGACGTCATTCGGAGCTGCAGGAGGGCTCTTGGTTCTCTCCCGGAGAGAACAGCTCTGCACTCCGGCAGTCTCGGCTTTGTGCTTTTATTAAAATTCCCCAGAATAAAAAGAAAAAGCATCTGTGAGGGAACAAGATTGATAAGAGATTCAAAATATATTTTTATTGCATTCTTAAATTACCATAATTAAATTAAATTATTAAATGTATTTTTATTAAATTAGCACACAGGCTGGTGTCACTTGCTTTAAATATTTTAATAAAGCCTGTGAAGTCTTCCCTTGTTATTAGTGCTCTTGGAATGTGTCTATTTTAATGACAATGTGAGTTTAAGTTCTGGTGTTGGGAAGAGACCCTGGATGGGTGAACTCTGCATTTCTCTGGGGGGCCCAGCAGGGTTATGGGGTTTCTTTGCTCAGGAGTGGCTGTGGGACCACATAAACTCCATGTACCCATATCTGGAGGAGATGCACAAATGATGTGTTGTGACAATAGAGCAGCAAAGCATTTAGGCACATGTTGGAAAACTCTGTGGAGCAGAGATGTACTTACAGAGCAGGGCCTGGAGGAAATCTGTGTATTGCTGGGTTTGAAGATAATAGGGAGGGATGAATTGTGTGTGCTACATTTAAAGACAGATCAATTTTTTCTGTCAAACCTACCTTCCCACTTTCTTTATCACTGGCTATAAACTGGGTATTTCTCAAAAGATGCCACAATGGAAGATGCTGGTTTTAAGGGTGTTGCTGCTTTTGCAACAGCTCTAGAAGTTGAACTACTTTTATGGGAGGGGCTGGGGATGCTCAGACCAGGGCTCCTCACCTTGCTCTGAACAGGGTAGGGCCGTGCAAATAATCTTCTCACTGGCTCTCTGGCAACAGGAAAGGTTAAAAAAAAAATTATAGATTTCCTGATGAATTTAAAAAATTGGGGAAAGTTGGTTCATTTTAATTGTGTGATTTAAAGTTATTTTTAAAAAATGTAGAAAATGTGGGAACAGAGGGCTGGATGGCAAAGGGGCTTGGGGTGGCAATGGGGCTTGGGAATTACTTGCCAAGTGGAATGTGTAAAACTAAGATTGAAATCCCCTCTTTGCTTGATTGCATGGGGATTTGAATTTGGGTCTCTGAACTCCTCTGAGAGTGCCCAACCGCCAGCACATTCTGGGATGAGAATCTGTCCTGCTGAAGCTGTTCTGCTTTGTAAGAATAATTAAATATTCATTGGGCCAGTGAGAGAACAGAAACAAGTTGATAGCCTGGGGATTAAGCCTCTCCAATAAGACAAGGATACAGAAGTAATTCAGTTCCCGATCCAACTCTGATGCTGAATGGATATGAATCTAGGGTCACACTGACCAAATTTACCAGGATCCTGTGTTTTTCACCATATATGTATCACAACTTTCTCCTTGTGAACTTTCCTTATTTCTTTACAGAAACTGCTACCACATTGGTTTATATAGTGGTGAATCTGTGTCAGCTGGAGTTATCCCCATTTTTATTGGAATCAGAATTGGGGCCATGGGCTCTTTAGCAATCCACCCTTGTTCCAGGATGCTTTTTTGAACTCCCAATTTGCTACATAGTGCAGTGGGGGGGAGGAAGTATACCTTGATTATAGGGGCATTACAGGAAACACTTTTTACTGTATGTCCAGTCTGTGGTGGTAATCTGGAATCACACAGTAGGAGGGAACTGTAATGTTATTAACATGACATTAATAAACCCCATTGTTTCTGTCAAACCTTAAGAAAACAGAAAATCAGCACTGAACATCTACAATGTGATGCTGCACTAAGGGAAATTTTTACAGTTCTATACTGAACTCACCTGATTAAATGACAAACTCGTTCCTGAGTTGCTTGGGTTTCTTTTTGTGTGAGGAAAAAAGAAAAAAGGAATATATTTTCCAGATGGAGCTCACTAGCAAGAAAGCAGCGGCTTTAGCCAGCCCCCTGCACCCCGTTTGATGCGAGCCCGCAGGCTGGGCAGAGCTGCGTCCTCTCCACTGCCCTGGGGCCTGGCTTCAGCACCTTCCTCTGCCAGGGCTGCTTTCACAGGATCTCAGCAAAACCCATTCCTTTCACTCAGGACACCTTCTCTTTTCACGTCCAGATATACGACTTGGCTCTCGTGATGGCCCATCATGTGCCGGGCTGAGGATGCTTGGAAAGACAATTCCTAACGCGCTGCTTGGGGCACAGTGAATGAAGTGCTGGATGCACCTTGTTCTTACACAGCAGTTAAGGCTCCGCGAAACGAACAAACCCTGTCTAAATGGGGATGGAGTGTTTCTCTTGAGTAATTTCATTCATAACTTGGCACCAAGTGCTCCGTGGGATGACAAGTTCAGATTTTTCTAGAAGCTGCCTTCCCAGTGGGCAACTCCAGGTCCTGCTAAATTTAACACCTCGGGAGAGGCAGAGCAAAGTAACTCTCCCTCCCAGCTCTGCACAAACAGGGAGCGGAGGGGTGTGTGTGTATGTGTGTGTGTGTGCGTGTTAAAAACCGCCCGCGCCTTTCCCCGCGGCCGCGGAGCCCTTGGCGCTCGGGGGGGATTTCAGTGCCCCCGCCCCGGTGCAGAGCAAGGGCGGCGCGGCCCGGCCCGAGTGCGCGGGGCTGCGCTCGGCGGGCCGGGCACTCAGCGCGGGCTGGGCCGNCCCGACGGGGCGGGGGGGAGGGGGGGCGGCGGCTCCGCGCGGCCGCGAGTCCGGTCCGCGGCGGCGGTCCGCGTTTTGCGGGCGGCCGCTGTATTTCCCGGGCCGTCCATGGCTCGGTGCTGTTGGCTCTCTCTCCGTCTGATCGGCGCAGGCTGCGCGGGGCTCCCTACGGGATCAGAGCGCTCCCCCGCCGGGACTCCACTCCTCACATCCTCCTGCTGGGACTCAGCTACATTTCCAGCCAAGCCTGGCTTTATTATGTGTGTCTGCACTGCAGCCCCAGCAGCAAGATCAGGAGGAGGAAAAGGAGCCAGGACAAAGAAAAGAGAGGGAGGCTGGCGAGAGCTAAAGAAAATAAAAACCCAGGGCAGCAGCGGCAGCAGCGGCAGCAATGAAGGCAGGAGCGGTGCCACCTTCCAGCGAATAACCCATGGAGGCAGCTAGCGGCCCCGGCATCGATGCAAAGAAGCACTTACCTTGTTCCGCGAAGTGCGTGCGTGCAGGGGAAGGCGGCGGCGAGCGCGGCCGGCCGCGGGGAGCCCACCCGCCCGCCCGCCCAGCTCCAGCTCCGCGCCGCGCACGGCCGGCCGCGCCGCGCCGGGGACACGGGGCGGCCGCCCCTCGGCCCCCGCCGCCAGCATAAAAAAGGACTCGTCGCCCTCCCCGGTCAGCGGCGGGGGCGAGCAAGGGAGAGGCAGCCGGGGGCGAGCGGGCAGAGAGGGAGGGAGGGGGCCGAGCGCGGCCGAGGGAGGATTTAGGAAAATCGCAACAAGGTCGCACCCCCGGAGCGCCCCGGATTGCCGGGGCCGGAGCTCCTCGTGGGTTTAGACACTGAGTTTTCGCCGCGCTCCCTCCCCCACCCCGTAGCCAGGGACCCCGCACAGGGCTCTGCTGCTTTTTTTTTTTTTCTCTTTTTTTTTTTTTTTCTCCTTTTAAAAAAAATTATTATTCCGAAAGTGCGAGCCGGACTGATCCGCAGGGCGCCTGCAAACTTTAAAGAGAACAAAAAGGCGGGTGGGGGCGCGGGCCGGGCTCTCTTTGCGTCGGTAGAATTTGCACATCCAAGGGGGGGGGAGGGAAGGAAGGAACAAAAAAAAAACAAAAACAAAAAACAAAAAACCCAAACAAAAAATAAGAAGGAAAAAAAATATTGCAACTGTTGCGCCCGCGATTTTTCTTCTTTTTTCTTTCTTTCTTTTTTTTTTAATTTTTTTTTTCTCCCGGGGGAAGGTGCCCGAGGGGGTGGAAAGAGGAGTTGAACTTGCCGCATTGCAACAGGCGAAAGAAGTGAGAAAATCAAATAATCGATCCCGCTGCTGCCGCTTCGCCTCGCAAAGTTTGGAGGTGCGGGGGGCGGGGGGGCGAGAGAGAAGGCAGGGAGAGGAAGAGAAGGAAGGGACAGGAGGAAGACGAGGAGGAGGAGGACGAGCCGCGGCGCCCGGACATGTCCAGGAGGAAGCAAGCCAAGCCCCGCTCGGTGAAAGGTAAGGCATCCTCCGTCGGCCCCCGCCGCCGCCGCCGCCCGGCCCCGGGCAGCCGCCTCCGCCGCCGCGACGCGGCCAATCAGGGCCGGGGCCCGGCTTGGCGGGGATTGCGAATCCCCCCCCGGTACGGGCTGCTGGTGGCGGAGACCCCCCCGGAACCGACGGCGTGTCCCTGCGCAGGGCATCCGCCCGCCCGCCGTCCGTCCCGGGGTTGTGTGGGCAGCGCGGGGCCGGCCGAGGCTGGCCGGCGACACGTGTCGCGATAATTGATGAAAGGAGCCGGTGGCATCGTTGAGGCGGGGAGGGAGGAAAGTTTCGCGGTGATGCTCGGTTGCGGTGGCGCATCGGCGGGCCGAGGAAGGGAGGAATGAGCTCACTCGTGTTTTAGCCAGTTAGCCCGAAATTAATGTTCCTTTATGATTGGGAATAGTAGCGCCGTCTGTTTGCTCCTTCTGTCCAATGCGCGTAAGGGTGGTGAAAGAAGGGGAGAATTAAACCCGATTTGATAGGTAGGGGTTAAGAATTTGCTTGGGCTTGAAGAAACAATGGCCAAATTTAGTAACGGCTTTATGAGTAAAGGTTAGACATTAAACTATGCGTATTTTTCTCCGTGCCCAGCGAAGCGGTGTTTAAAACCTCCTGTTTACCTCCGTAAGAAAACAGCTGCTGGAGAAACGTAAAGGGAGGGCCGGGACCGGCCCCGCGCCGCACTGCACGCATTGCCAGCTTTTTGACTTTTAAGTGAATGGGTGCGAGAGAGAAAGCGTGATTCCCGAAGCCTTTCGCTCCCAGCCACGAGGAGGTTAGCTGATGTAGGGGAAGGTTTTATTGTCCTCTGCACAAAGCAGAAGTCGCAAACTCAGTGGACCGGTGGCTTTGTTGTAGAAGCACAAAAGGATCAGAACTTTGGATGCCCAGAAGATGAAACAAAAAGTCCAAAGATTTTGTAATTAAATAACTCGTAAGTGAACAAAATTAGTGTGCAGTTAATCGACCCGCTAAAGAACAAATTGCACCCCCTTTCCAGGGCCATTTTATATTATTTGTGAAATCCATTCTTTAATAGATGATTGCAGTGTAAGTTGTATGTGCTTCAGATGTTTATCAAGTTTTTGTAAAGTCGGTCCTTATCTTTGTACAACTCTCTTAATAATTTTTCCCCAAACTAAGAGCACCTTTTAGCATTGTGCTGTGGGGCAGGTTTGCAGCGTGGCGTTGTGACCCTCCGCAATCCCGGACAATCTGCTAAAGGAGCTGCTTCAGTAATTGGTAGATGAATGTTACAGTCTCTGGGCAGAAGAAAGGGCAGAGATAGAACTATTTCTAGGGGATGCTCTGAAATACATTGTTTGAAACGAAAAGAATCGCAGTTTGAGAGCAGTGGAGCAGGCCTTGGGTCACGACTTCTCTCAGATGAAGGGATCACATTTAGTGGCCAGGCCTCTGGAGTTTAAAATATTTTCCTGTGCTAAAGTGGCACATTTAACATTCAGGAAATAGTTCTGTGCCAGTGCAAACAGTGTTTACTCTAGAAGCTCAGTTAGTAAACCTTGACGTCTTGTGACATACAATGTTAGATATTTACCATTAATTACTCTTTTGTTTTCTTCTTCATTACTTTTAGGCTTCAATAGCTCTTGCAAGTGGTTGATACTTTATAATGAAATTTTCACTCTAATTCTGATACAGAACTGATCACTATTTATATGATCACTTTTTATGAATTAAAGTAGGTAGCTTACTGGCAAGTCATAGCTGAGAAACATTATCCCTGTAATGCAGAAAAATCTAGAAGGTCTTTGCAATAGTGAGCTGGGTGAAGCTGAGTTTTTAAAGATTATAAATATTTCTGAGGTCTCTAGGCACAAAAAAATGTTTCCAGCTTCAGCAAAAACTGGATGTAAATTACAGGTCTTAGTTTGAGCTGCCTAACGGGGAGTCTAAGAATGAGCTGAATCTGGGTGAAATTCTGGATAATAGGAGGCAGCTCATATGTGTATGTAGGATAAAGAAATTCTTCATTTCTTTCTATTCACCCATATCTTCTGCTTGTAAAAAGTCCGTTGTATACATTTTGTGGTCTAGGGAGCTGGCAACCCAGTAGATTGCCACAGTACACGTTTCCATGGAAATAATTGAGATGTAATAAATAAAGGCACTCTGAGGTCATAGGTTTCCCAATTCAACTGAGAAGAAAACAAGCATAAATTACGTGGATATATGTGTGGCATTTAGTACTTAAAATAATTTAACATTTTTCTCTTTTCCATCTTTTATTTCACTTTGTATAGCAGCTTTGCTATTTATTAACCACTACAAGATTTGTGTATCCTTTTTCATTCAGAAAGATTATGCACTAAAATAGGATCAGTCTGTGCCTGTGATGAAAGGGATTATTCTGCATGCAAAAAGCAAGTTGCCTGCTCTTTAAGTGGGAGCAATGCTGACTTTAAAGAAGTGATTGACTTTGACAGAAGTATCGCATGTTGACAAGTCTTAGATGCGCTTATTGCAAATGAAGTGATAGCGAACCCAAAGTGGATGCCAGCACAGCTGCAGGTCAGGTGGCCCCTGTGCTGTATTGTGAGGTCTCAGGTTCAGCCTGGCAGAAACTTAGAGTAATTCCTGCAGCTGTAACTCCAGCAGTAGCCCTGGGCTTCCCCCTGACATGGGATTTATGATTTGCAATACAATTCACTGATTTGTTTTGACCATTAGTTTGTGCAAACTTGAAGATACTAACCTTATAGCTGGTGGTTGGGGACAATGCTGGCTTAAAGGAAGGTGGTTTCACATCAGTGAGAATGGAATGAAAGTGTGAGTATTGAGTCTCTGCTGGTTTACAAAATAAACACTTAGGGGACAGTGTGGTGGTAGCAGTGATGGAGTGAAATACTTTCTGAAGCTTTGCTTCACATCACAGATGAAGCCCATGAAAGTAATTTGCCTCAGCACAGACTCTTGCCCTGTTGCCAGTAACCTCAGCTGCTGAGAGCTTTCTCAGTTCTCGCTAAGGAAGAGTTATACCTTGCTCGGTGTTGTTAAAACCACGTGGACCTGAACCCCAGAACATAACACAGCTGTCAGTGTCAAAGCACTCTGTCTTGTCCCCCATTGGAGCTGATGGGCACTGATATTAGCACCGGTGTCCTTAAAAGTTTGTTTGGTGCTGGCTGCTGCAGTGGGGGGCACCCAGTCCACTCCGGGGGCTGAGGAGGGCAGGTCTTCCTTCCTCCCCTTGGTCAAAATGCAGCTTCTCATGCTTGGAGGTGGTTCTGGGTGGTGCCGTGCTGAGATGTGGGTAACAGCAGCCCGTGGATTTCCAGTCCCATGTAATGGTAATTGAGGCATTACTGGACTGCTCTTTGTGGGACTGGGCTCACACTGGCACAAGGTTTTAAGCATCAGATGCACTTTGGCTGCTGAATTTGACAGTTCTGCAAATTGCTGTCAGCTTGCGGGGGTATTTTGTGCATAAACGTGCTAGTTGGTAATCAAAATGTTTTGCAAAAGAATGCGCTAATTAACTCTAGATTTGTTATCCTACTTGAAGTTGCAGAATTGCTGTCATATTTTTTTGCTTTCTGTTGGCAAAAAATGCTGATAGAAACTTTTGATTCACACCCTACCTGCCTCATTTGTGTCAGTCAAGAAGAGAAAAGGGGGGTTGCTCATTACTTCGTTATCTGCAAAGTAAATAAAAATACTTCAACCATTTGCTGAGTTCCAATTAGTTGATTGCTATGAATGATCTTCTTTAAAGGAATGCTGTTTTACCTATCTGCTCATACAAAGGTTTGATTTTGAATGTCTTGTGAAAAGGATTCTCTTTGTCTTGATTGATGTCAAGAATAAAAGCATGATGGTAATATCCCTTTGAAAGCTATTGTATTGTCAGCTCTGGCTGACAGCAGGAGGCCCTCCTAGTGCTATAGATTAGCGCTGTGAAAACACTGACATTTTCTTTGTTATATTGCTGTTGTTCTGCTTGCAAAGTCAATTATACAATGTTGGAGCTCAGTTACAGAGTTGACTGTGGAAGTAACAATGTCTTTCATACTTGTCTTAAAGATATAATTTTCCTTTTTTCCCAGTTGATAAAGAAGAACCTGAAGGTACTGGAACAGTACATTCTACAAATTAAATTTTGACAAGTATAATCATAATTGCCAAATACAAGAGACTTGTGCGATTATCCTTTAATTTTACAGTTCATTCAAGTTTCGGTGGAATTTTATTGATACAGTGAAAGCAGCAGCTAAAATTGATAAAACTCATATCAAATAAGATTACGCTCTTGATTGTTCTTTATCAAGTGTAGCTTTTGGGGGATTAGGAATAATTGGAGATGTTGGTGTTTCATTGTGGGGCTGGTGCCCTGAGAGTGTTTGAATCCATGCAGTATTCCGAGCACTGCCTTCAGGGATTAGCCTGCAGTTTTTAATTTTTGCCTGTGTATTTTGCTACAAGCCTAGCAGCGTTCTCCTCTGAACTCCACAAGTCCCATTTTCCTGCCTTGCTCTCCCTCTGGTATGCTCTCCTGGACGGGATCTGGGTGGTATTTAACTGGTTTTACTGATTGAAACTCCTGCCTGTGTGCAAACACCTTTTAATTGCGGCCTGTTCCCATTGGTCTCAGGGAATATAACGAATAAACATGGCCAAAAATTGAAAAGAGTGGGAAAGGTAACACAAAACATTTAAATATAAATTGGAAGAAAATAGAAATCTCATATTTTTAGTGATGCTATGTCTAAAGCCATTGAAGAACAACTACCATTGTACAGCTCTTGGAGAATTCTTCCTGTGTTTTTCTTCAAAAATATTTGTGTACAATCAGTGCAAGTTAAAGAACATCATTCACTGCTGAATTGCTTCAGATGACACATGCAAAAAAAATAATCAGAGACGTCTTGTAGGACGTTAATTGTAGGATTTCTAAATTACTATTATAAACTAATAGAGTAACAAAAGATTCTACAGTTACCAGTAATTTGTCA